CCGTCGGGCACTGTGAGGTCTGCAACACAGAAGTCCTGCACAGCTGCATTGGAGGAGGAGGAGAGGAGAAAAATGTGAAGAAGATAGGAAAAAGCATTGTTACAAAGCGCAACAGTGAAGCCTTTTTCTTGATAAGAAATTTGGGATCATATACACACACAGTGGGATAATGTAAATATCTTGAGCTCATATTGCAATTGATTGTTCGGAATATGCCCATTAGGGTTCACATGTATTATATTTTGAAATTATACGATGAGGCATAGGACAGATTTCAAGCCGTGAAGCATGTGAGTATGATATTTTTCTCAGATGACAAGAAGAAGCCTCTTTTTGTTTTTGACGATACAGTAACAGCAACAATATGATATGCAGAAAACTATTGACTTCCTGTTATTCGAGTTCCCAAATCTTTCACCGTTTCAAGTAAATCCCATCCCGATAGTACTATAAAAATTTGGTGTTCCACAGAACGAAAACTAGTTTTTTTCAGCCTGTTATATATAATTATCAACTATAGATTACCTAACATATTTTGCAACTGTTTCTCTAAACAATCAATACATTAACGAGATATAGACGTATTTCGTGTTTTGTGAACTTATATATCTTATCTACTTAGAGGGTCCAAGGTTGTGTCCTAAGATTTGAAGTCCATCGACAGAGTCCGAAAATGGTGAGCAGATTGTGGGCCTTGAGAAAATGGACGGGATTGGGGGGGGGGGGGGGGGGGGGGGGGGGGAGGAACATAAGAAGACAGTTTTCGAATTCTGTCTTGTTTTGTGTATCAAAACTGTAAAATTTTTCTCCGGTTCACCTTATCGTGCAATTTTCAATGAATAAGGTACGCTAGTGTTCTTGTTTTTTGATTGAAAATTAAGCATGTTACCTCAATAATATAGAAATAATATAAAAAGAACGAATTTTGTTTGAAAGATGCATATATTGCCTTCAACATAATTGCTGCTACATTGGTCAGACTGAAGCAGTATAATGCTTCTGAAAGCGTGCAAGAATCACCCTAAACAGAACTCTTTTACTCTCAATCACAACGAGAAAACAAAGGGACATGGAATAACCCCAGAAGACGGGGGATGAAAAGAAAGAGACATTCTAATTGGTACCACCAAGAACACCCTTAAGCTTCTTTATCTGCGCAGCGTCGAGGAAGGTAGTCTGCGCTATCAATTCAGTAGGTAAGTCGTTTTGGAACAGTGCAAAGTCCAGAATCTGCAGACCGGGGCTTGGACTACTGAAGCTAACAAATGCAAGGGCTGGAGTTTTATCTCCATTCACTTGGAAGTGCAGTAGACCTTGAGGGAACACCATAATGTCACCTTTTTTAAGAGTTTTCAGATAAACCGTGTTAGCTGAGGAAACAAACCCGGCAATTATTGTTCCTTGAGCAACAAGTAGGACTTCAGAAGCCCCGGGGTGAGTGTGAAATGGGATGACTCCACCCACAGCTAGGTCTAGGCGCGCGAGTGAAATGCCGAGGCCATTCACACCGGGAAATTGAGCAGCAAAAGCAGGGGTGACTGCAGCTTTGATGATATTCGTGGTGTTGCCAGGAATGCCTAGGCCAGAGTACACGAAATCATCTACCGTAACTTTAGCAGGCTTTTTGCAAGAGTAGCCAGCAGGGCCCTCCGGAGCTTTGTAGTTTGCGACGCAGAAGTCTTGCACGGAAGCAAGGGAGGAGGAGAGGAGGAGAGAAAATGTGAAGAAGATAGGGAAAATCATCTTCAAGGATCGTTTGGTTATTTTTTCGGTTTTAGCCTTCTGTTTTGAGGTATTTCTTGATAAGGAAATTAGGACTGTATATATAGAGGGATAACGTGAATTTCTTGAGCCATTTGCAATTGGTTGTTTGGAATGTGCCCATGAAGGATTCACATGTGCAGTAATATTATAACGTAACGTATACGACCGAGGGAAGCGACAGATTTCAAACTGTGATGCATGTGATTAAGATATTTTCTTCATATAACAACAAGAAGCCTCTTTTTGCTTTTGAAAAATGCAGTAACAGCAAGATATCATGTACACAAAATCTACCGACCTACTGTCAACTCCTACTGTTAATTTTTAAGTTTCCAAATCTTTTGTAGTTTAATTAATAGTACGGGCTGATTTGGTATTGCTGTGCTTTAAAAAAAAACTGTTTCTGCTGTGCTGTGAGAATAAGCAGCAGAGTGTTTGGTAAGCTGAGTTTTGCAGCTTTGTGTTTTTGACTTTTTTTAACCCAAAACTGTGAAAAAAAACTGAAGCTGAATGTTTACCAAACATAAAAAGCTCCTAATTTTTTTTATAGCTATTTTTTTCAGAATCGCCACCAAACTAGGGCGTAGTATCATAAGAATTTTTTTTTCGTGTTCCACTAAACGAATATCAGCTTTTCCGACTGCGTTCTATAACGCTAGCTATATCAATCAAGCAAAAGCAGCACAGCCAACTACATTGCAGATTGGCAATCAAATTGAGGTACTCAAAGACTTTAGCTTGCTCAAGCGCGTACAGCCAGCTCATATATGCAAAGGTTTAATTTAGTCCGAAATGTTTCTACGTCAATCTTTGCCATTGTGACTTGAGAATGTAAGATTGGAAACAACAAGGAGTGTCCAAAAATGGTGCAGAAGATTGTGGTCCTTGAGTCAGGGGGAGGCATAAGAAGACATCTTGACAGCTAAAAGGGGGCAGGAAAATGGGAAATGTGTGGATATCAGAAGTTCCCCGTCTCGCAGGGTTCTTGGATTTCATTATTGGGAAGTCTGGAAAGTCTTTTCAAATTCTGTCTCTTTGTATATATATATAGTAACTGTAATAATTTTTTACATTTCACCTTATCATTACAATATCAGTCAATGCAGATTAACCATACATATTGCAGATTGCATATATATCATACTAATCTCAAAGTAAACCCTAGTACTTGGGTGTCACCGGGAGTATATCCTTGTGTGAAAAAAATGAAAAAAAAATGGCAAAATAAAAAAGCGAAATGAACAGGACTGACCTAAAATTGAACAGCAGCATCCAACGTGCATATAACAAAATGTGAGGAAAAGTTAAACAATCAGGTTACGACGTTAAAACCAGACAAGCATCTCAAATCAGGGCATATATATGGAATGAACTACTCTTGATTTAATCCAAGGCTCAAGTTGTTTTAGGTAGAGAGACTTCATTTAGCCATCTCATCAATCAGGTAGTGTAATCCCTCCAACCAGTAGCCACCGGTTTACGCCGATTGCTCGTTGAGATTGTGTTACCTTCTTATACATTGTTATCCACTAAATATCAAAGTTTTTAGGCTCCGCTTTTAAATAAATTTGCTGCAAACTTATGCCTAGTTAAGTTGGCTAGACTGATATGCCCCTATTTCTGCACCCGATTTCGAATTCCACTCCCATAGTTTAGAATAGGGTGTCAATTTTTTTTTATTGACGTATATTCATGATCATCTCATGTGATTTCGTCTATATATGATTAGAATGAATTAATTATCTAATGCAATTTTTCACTAGAAAGTGATCAGTCTTGACAGAATCTTATGCTACATAATCAAGATGCCGTGAACTCATGGTTTAATACCAATGTAGAAACACACCTAAATGACGTTAACTTCAATTTCATTGCTGTTAGTAATGAGGTTATTCCTGGTTCCTTGGGAGGGTATGTCTTGCCTGTAATGAAGTATCTACAAAAAGTCCTCCACGATTAAAACTTAACGGTATTAAGGTGACAACTGTTTTGCCCGGAAATGCCTTACAATCTTCCTATCCGCCTTTGAGTGGTGCGTTCACATCAGAACAAGCAGTGCTAAGAGTGGCATTCTTTCATTTTTATCCGCGAAAGGACCACCCCTTGTGATCAATGTGTATCCTTACTTCGCCTATGCATCAGACCCTACGAATCTACTCTTGGTCTCTGCACAACGCAACTAGCCCCGTGGTTGGGTCGTGAGCTGTTACAACCTGTTTGATGCCATAGTGGATGCTTTATTCACGGCAATGGAGAAAGCTGGAGGGGGTGATGTCAGTGCTGTGGTGGCGGAGAGTGGTTGGCCTTCGGATGGAATTGGAAATTTCACCACTCCAAAACTTGCTGGCTGGGACATGTAACATGAATTTTGTGAAGAACAGAACCTCGAAACAGGGACACCAAAAAAACTTGGTGCTTACGTTAGAGGGTACATTTTTGCCATGTTCAATGAGAATCAGAAACCTAGTGGTTCTTCAAAAAAAAAGTAACCTAGTGGCGTGGAGCAACATTTTTGACTTTGTTATCCTAACAAGCAACCTGTTAACCTTTAAGAAAACTTATGTATCCATCATGTAATTAATAAAGAGAGTGCATGATCTTGAAATTTCTCTTAAACTTTTTCCAATTAGGGAGGATAATTGAACTGGTGTGCGCAGGGGAACCGCAAAGCCCCGGCCAACTAGCACCTACTACCGGACTAGCCACAGGGATCAAACTCATTACATATATATATATATATATATATATATATATATTCTCCTCACCATTTCAATTTTTTAAGGGAATAGTACGAGATATTCGTTGATACGGCGAATGAAGAAGCAAAAAGAGGGATGTTGTGCATTTATTCAGACCTGGATAAATATCGTCATCGGGATTCTTATCATGATAGATTTAATTGTATTGATTAGAAAATCATTAAGTATAAATGCAAAAACTTGAAATTTATGGAAGGACTGAAAGAAATTTACGAGGGCAGTCTTGTTCATTGTTAAAGCAATCAAAGAAAAAGATATACCCGTGCACTCCAAGAATCAACTCCTGAATCATGTATTGGTCTTTAATTCTTATAACTTTGTCTTTATTCAGTGTATCTGCTGCTGTAAATTGCTTGAGTTTAAAGATTTAATCCCTGCGGGGTCAAAATTTGTAATTATAAAGTCTCTTCTCTCTGAGATAAAAAATATTCACAAAAATTCTCAGCCATTTCAATTGCGCTCAGTGATCAGAAAGTGATGGCAGTACTGCATTGGATTGCACTCATTTTATCCTTTGTAGCAACCGTCCACAACCATATAGGCCTCGTCGAAGCTTCGCCCAACATAGGTGTTTGCTATGGAATGATAGGAAATGACCTGCCTTCTGCACCAGAAGTGGTTAATCTCTACAAAACTTACGGTATTGGGAAGATGAGGCTCTTTGATCCCAACCCCTCAGCACTCCAAGCACTGAGAGGGAGACAAATCAATGTCACGCTAGGCAATTGTAACGAAGACTTACCAAATTTAGCTGTTAGTCAAGATGCTGTGAACTCATGGTTTGCATCCAATGTAGAGCCTTACTTAAATGATATCATCTTCAACTACATTTCAGTTGGTAACGAGGTTATTCCTGGTGCCTTGGGTGACTATGTTTTGACGGTAATGCTTTCTCTACAGAACATCCTAGATGAAAAAAATTTGGCCGGTATTAAGGTCACCACAGTTGTGCCAGGGTCTGCCTTGGGAGTTTCATACCCACCTTCGAGTGGTGAGTTTACGTCCGAGGTAAGTAGTATTATGGGTGGCATTGTTCCATTTTTAGCGCAACTATCTTCACCCCTTATGATCAACGTGTACCCTTACTTTGCCTATGCATCAGACCCTGCAAACATTCGGTTAGACTACGCTCAGTTTACTGCGACAAGTCCCGTGGTTCAGGATGGGAGTTTGAGCTATTATAACATGTTTGATGCTATAGTTGATGCATTTTTGGCAGCAATGGAGAAAATAGGAGGTGTTGGGGCTAATGTGGTGGTGTCTGAGAGCGGTTGGCCTTCAGATGGGAACGGAAATTTCACCACTCCAGAACTTGCTGCGACATATAACAAGAACTACATGAACCACATAACGTCGATGGCAGGGACACCGAAAAGACCTGGTGCTTACATTGAAGGGTACATGTTCGCCATGTTCAATGAGAATCAGAAACCTAATGGTGTGGAGCAACATTTTGGACTTTTTCATCCTAACATGCAACCTGTTTATCCTGTCTTTTAATTCATAAATTAGATATTATCCAAGATCAGGTTATGCATCTTTCTATTCTTTCTTTTATATATTAATTATAAAGATTTAGTTTAACATATTTTGTGATTATAAGATGACTGAATATATTTGCGATTATTCAGTTTGACTCACTATTTATTTAAGAAAATCGGTGAACACTCTTTTTAGCCTCTCACACTTAAAGTGTGACCCTTTTTCATCTCGTTTTAGTTTTCTGTAGCTTAGCTTGCATGTTTTATCAGTTCAGTTACATTTAGGAGCTCTATGGCTTGAATGTAAATGCACATACAATATTTCCTTAGGATCTTTGCATCGATGTGAACATTTCGAGTAGGATTTTGGAGTTACTTTGTCATCCCAGAAACCCCTCGAGTGGCATCTTAAGAGTCTGTAGTACATCTGTTGCTGAGCCAATTTTTCTATATCATGCCTCGTATTTGAGGTTCCTCAGTTGCTATTTCTTTATATCGTTGATTTTCAACACCGTCGCCATGATTCAAACTATACATTTGATACTTATCCCTTACTAGATTGTGATTGATTAGAGGGAGGTGGAGTGACATATGAGTAATTCAAATTGGAAGCATTGTAGTGCTCATGCAATTTTCAGCGCATAAGATGGATGAACACTACCGGTCTTATTTCTTGATTGACACTCATTCGAGCGAGACGGTAACCATTCTTCAACCACAACATGGAGCTCTATTTACATTGCACCAACTCTAGCTTAGGGTTGCAAAATCCTGCCTCTATCTAAATTTCAGTTTCAATAATGTGATTGGAAATCACAAAATCTGTGGATTTTACATTTCTTTATTGTGTTATTTATAATTAAGTCGTCCCGATTTAGGGTTTGCTCATTAAGTTGAGTGTCTTTTGAGAGTGGCAACGGTTTTAAGGAATGTTTGTTCCAATAATTATACAATTAAGAAAATACATTCAAATTATGAGAATGGATATGCTAAACATAGAACCATATCAAGGTCGGATTTAGTAAACATTCTGATATACTAAACATAAAATATTATCATGTTTTTTTTTTTTTTAAACAAACGATATTATCTACACTAAGGAGGTGGAAAAGTGGCTAAGCCTTATAATATGCTAGCAATAATGTGGTTCAAATTTGCCTTTGACGAGAATTGAACCTAAGACTTCTCATTTACAAGTGAAAAGAAATATCACTAGGCCTTAGTACTAAATGGCTAATTTTAAGTTTTACATACTAACATTAAATTACAGTTCCCAACGATTACACTAATATACAACATTGTCCTATATGGGAAAAAAAAAACTCTACAGCCGAGCAAGGCCAGAACCTACTTCTCACACTTAAATCATGGTCACTGCTCTCATATGAAATGGCACCGGCCACCATTACACCAAACCTAATCTACAAAATACGAACACGACGAATCTGATGTCATATGGATGGCTATCTGGAGAGTTTCGTCGACAGACCTTTGAGTAGCTTCCATTACACCAACCCTAATCCTTTATTAAAATTTGTTTCTAGGGTCTTTCTCAAGATTATCCTAATAATCATAGCGTTTACTCTAATCTATTTTAGTTTGATGTAGGAGATGATGTTCCAGGGCGACGGTTGTGTGTCATATGCCAGATGATAGAAGGCAATCCGCATTCATTCCTTGTGGGCATCTGGTTTGTTGCCAGCGCTGTACGTAATGCATTAGCTAAAAGTTCCTATTTTACCAAAGTGCCCTATTTGCCAGCAAGAAATTCTCGTTGCGGCGCGAATATATATGAATCTTAGCATCAATTTGCATTTCTTAGGGTTTAGTGTTAGAGTTCCTTAAGTTTCGGTCATTTTCCGCCTCATGAAGTAAATACTCTTGTTTTGTGTATTTATCCTTAAGTTTCGGTAATTTTCCCCCTCATGAAGTAAATACTCTTGTTTTGTGTATTTACCTTCTCTAGTTGCATCACTTTCTTTGATCTCATGGGCTATAAGCGTAACAAAATAGCACTGATGATTGCTAGTTTTGGGACCAGTTTTGAACGATGCAAGGAGCCTTCCTACAAACATATTTCAAAACATAGGCAGTTAACTTAATTCATATCAGATGTATGAATGTAAACTTATGCAAGTTTACACATATGATATGGCACTCGATCTATCGGTTAAATATCAGAAGGTAATGGCAGTTTCGCAATGGATAATGCTCATTCTCTAGCTCGTAGCAGCCATTCAAATCCATATAGGCGTCGTTGAAGCTTAAACTCTTCAAAGCGTATGGTATTGGCAAAATAAGGTTGTTCAATCCCAATCCAAAAGCACTCAACGCACTGACTGGGTCAATAAATCGATTAGTAGGGGAGCGGGGAAGACAATTAGGAGAAAGAAAAATAGGAAGGGTAGTTAACATTCCCAATTTGAAAGCTTAGACGTCTAGTCTAAATATATACAATGATTTGTAAAGAAGGAAAATACACCTTATCTCTCACAATTCTCAACAATTCACCCATATACCAAAGGAATTAATTACCAGCTAGGGAGATTACATTTTTAAATGTACATCTCTCTAATAGCGGTGGGACTGGCTTGCTTTGGTGGGTCTCTCTTTATTAGAGACATGGTTCAAATGTAGTTTACACAATGAGGTTTCTTTAGAATTGTTAGGATTATAGGATGAATTGATGTCATAGAATCACGTTTGCTAGAGAATATGCTGTTAATTAAGGTGATAAGTACGAGAGTAATAGACTCTCTGTAAGTTTCTATGTAATTTCAAAAATCTATTCACTGAAAGCCTTCCTTCTTCTTCTATATTTCTTTGGCCCCCTTAACAAGCATCACCCTACACCAAATAATCTGTCACGTTCTTTCTCGTTTAGGTTTAGGGTTAAGGCCATGGCTCATCTTGTATAAGCAAACCCTGACGAAAACCACTGCCAATGCCATCGCCGGAGCAAGTTTTAATCTTCCTAGTCTCCAAACTCGCCCGACAGCCCCATTTTGGGCGTTGCCCTAGGGTATGCCGCGGTGCGCACCTTGCTCAAATTGAGCTCCTACTCCTCGGTCCTACCCAAGGTCCGTATCGCTCCCTCCGTAAAAATTTCTGATCTCCGGTCAAGCCTCGCGTTTGATCAATCCGACCAGTCCACTGCAAAGCTCGCCGTCTTCCGTGGCACCGTTGAAGCCAAGTCTGCCTTGGACGACAGCAAATGGAATATCTTTAAAAAGTCTGATGTACTCGTCTCACGAGGAGCAATAGATAGAGCCGTCATTGTTCGGAGAACTCAAACGGTACGTTTTTGTTTCTTGTCACTGTAGTCTGTCTGTAGTCTTTTTGGACGAAACTGAATTGGAAATTGAATTTTTGTGAAGTGTGTATTTAACGAATGGATGGCCCTTTTCGGATGGTGGGATTTTCGAGCGTATTGGAGGGCACTTTGGAGAGCTTTGACAGATCCAGGATCAAGCTCCTTACGAAAGGTGCTCAAATTATGTATTTTCATTATTTTCTGTGAATTTTGTTGCTTATATAATTCATTTGACCACATACAAAAAAGAAAAAACAAAAAACAAAAAAAAAAAGAGAAAAAGAACATGAATGGTAATTTTGAATCATATTTGTGTAGGTTCCTTTCATTCTTGTTGAAGGCGGTGGTCGCGGAAAAAAACCGATTTCCGATTTTGTTGTTGTAAATGTGCATAGATCAAGGCAGCCGTTACCTCTCACTACAGTTTATCGACGCTTGCACCCTGTTATCGCTTTCTCCTTCTCCCTGTTCATTCTTCGAGGCACTTTATGGCCGTGACGAGTGCCAAGTGAGTTTTGCAATTCTTCTTTCTCATTGTTTTAGGCGTCCAAAGTATCATTTTCTTAATGTATAACCCGAACCCTATCTTTTTCGTCTCTAGCATAGGGCTACATACTAATATAGAGAGAGTGCCCATGTGGGTTCCACAAAAAATATAGCCTTAGCTAAAGGAGTTGCCTGCTATATTTAGCAAGCATGGTAGCCCTTAGCTCATTGATAGCCCGTTTGCTAGAGACGGGTCCTATCGATCATAGCTGGAGATGGTCTTATCATCCGAGTTAATGTTTTTAACTTCACTAACTCTTGTAATGTGATATTTTGTTTGTTTGTTTTGCTTCTGGTTTTGAAGGGTGGAGTGCTCAAGGAAGAGGAGATTCTTCGTTTGGGAAAGGAAATTAGTGCTATTGGTCTCTACAGTTTCAAAAACGGACTGCTGGAAGTCAAGTCCTGCAAGGATCTTCCCTATTTTCTGTAAGTGGATTTTGTTCTCAGCACTTTCTTTTGAATCTGTACTTTGATGTGTGCATTATAACTGATGTATCTTTTGCAGCTCTAGGATGTCTAAGGAACAGATGGTTGTAGATCTTGCATTACGTACAAAAAAATTGTTCTGGAGTGGGATTGTTCTTGGTTCAATGCCAATTGGCCTCCTTGGCTATTCTGCTGTCAGGTGCAAATATATCCTCTTGTTCCTTCACATTCAACCAATGATTAAAAAATTGTTGATATGCCATTCAGTACTACGGTATGGTGATATTCTTCTTCACTTAGAAGTGAGAGGTCTTAGGTTTGAATCTCGTGGATGACAAATTCAATACCAAATTAGACTGCTCATTGTGTGGCGTAGCCGAACTCCTCCTCCCTTTAGTGTAAAAATATCAATGTGCTAAAAAAAAGTGTCGATATATACTCGATAGGGGGCGAAGCACTATCTTTCCTAGATTTCTCTGAAATTTCGGAGATATTTTAGTAATATTAGCAATGTGAGTTATAATTATCTCGATGGATAATTCACAATTTAGATATTTGAGAAATTCCGTGATACAAGTTTTGATAAAAAATAAATTAGATTTTCATACCTCATTTTTCTCTTTCTCATTAATTGAACTTTTTTCATTAAGGTGGTTTGACTTTTGTTCACATCATTATTTGAATATTAATTTTTTTTTCATATCAACATTATTATTATTATTATTATTTTAGTAAAATCAACATTATTAATTTTAGAACTAAATAACTTATTAGTCATTTCCAAATATATCCTTTTAGTATTTTTTTTTTCCATATATTTTTATTTTAAATTTGTATCCATTTTTTTGCTGAATAGAACCATGTTTATTACATGTATTTATTTATTTTATGTTTGAAAATGTATCAATGGTTATTTCTTAAAATATATTAATAACTATGTGGGTACATTATTTGTTTGCTAGAACTATGTGAAAAACAAACAATATTACTCTATTATTGATTTTTGAGTAATTATGATAGTTTAATAATATTGTTTAAATTTGTCTAAAGTTAACTTTTGTTGGGATATTGAATGCATAAATGTAAGAGTTAAACCTCTTAAATGATGGTAATAACCTCAACCAAAATATTTAAACAAATTAAGTTTTAGTCTAATAATTAGGTTGACTAAACACCAGAACCAAAATAACCTTGTGATAAAATTCAGCCGATTTGGGATCAATTCGAGAATAAGATTCATTGCACTTTCTAGTCAATGTTCCATGAGTTTGGTTTGAAATTCATAGGCATATAAAGTTTTTATACAACTGCTCTATCTATGTTCGCATACTACTACTTAACATGATGCTTTAATATTTTAATTACTTTTTCTGCATAATTTGTGTCTTACAAGGTTTCATAAAAACCCTAAAGGAAAAACAAAATGGAATGGAATAGAACAAATCCCTTTCCACATTGCATCTAATATTCCAAGTTTTGTTACTAAGTTTATATGTTAAATGCGGATGGTTGATTTGGGAATTTTGTAGAAGTTTCAGACAATTTATGTGTTTTATATCATGTTTCCATTGTTTATTGTTTTCCACCGATATCGATATATATATCTTTCAATATTTCTCTAAGATCAAGCTATAGATACAACCAAAACCAAAACTTAAATACTTGTTAATCTACAAATATTTGTTTCAGGATTTGGAATAGATGGAAAGCGTGCAAGCGACAAAGGCGGCTACTGCAATCAATCCGTGCTTCTGAGAACAAAGCTGAAACTCAAGTTCAAGAAGTGGATGTTGAATAAGAAGAGTATCCAAGACAACTCTAATGATCCCAAGAAGAAGAAAATAGAGCACACTCTTAAAGAAAGCTCACAAAACAAACTAATTAGCAAAGCTTTTCTTATTTAGCTCTAGGCTTTGTTTTTCCTTGGATGATGTACAATGCTTGGGGACTTGGGTATTTATAGCAAACCAAATGAAAGCTACACCACACACTTACTTCACCTACAACATCCACCTACTTCACCTACAACCTCCACTTACTTCACCAACCTCACACACTTACTTCACCTACAACATCCACCTACTTCACCTACAACCTCCACTTACTTCACCAACCTCACACACTTACTTCACCTACAAATGACATTGATTCTCAACACTCCCCCTCAATGTCAGCTCTCATTCTTTGCACTGTGCTGAGTAAACAGCGAAA